CTTTTGTCCTGAAAAGCAGAAAAAAAAATGACAATAATTGTTGGGGCCAGTTCCCAGCAAATTTCACCTTTCCAACTTATCTATAGTGATCTGTTTTACAAGATGCGCAGTTAATGTTACTGGCTGAGTTCACACCTGCGCAAACGTCTAGGAAATCAGGATATGAGTACACTAGCAGCATTTAGTTTTTCTTTGATCTGGGCTTTTTTTTTGGAAGCCAAGTTGATGTCACATTTTCTCATTAGCCTCAGTGACTGAGGTCACAGGGATCACAGCATGAGTCACATACATGTGTGAGTTTTTTTAAAGGCCCAGAGGGATGTTTTCAATGCTTCACCCTGTTGGTGAATTAAACAGTGGTACCGAGAGCTGACTGTTCATAAAGCAATAGAAAAACTACTGTGCATAAAATTTGCATAGATAAACCATAACAACAACAAAATGCTGTGGTTGGTTCTGCAAAGTCCTGTAAAGGATACATAACTAACTTTTTAAAATGTGAATGCAGACTGTTGGTTCCTCATCTTTTAGGCAGCTGCGCTCAGACTTCAGAGGAAAAATACCTAATTAGTCACTTTCGCTGACATGCTTAATAGGGAGGAAGCGGGTCCACACCCCCCCCCCCCCTTCCCCCACCTCAAATGAGACCCTAACACCCTGACTAGGATTGGGGGAATATTTTGAGGTAAGACCCCAAACTCTTCCAGAGTGCAACTGTCGTATTACTGTCCTAAAATCCCCCCCCCCCCCCCCCCAAAAAAAACGTTTAAATAAATAAACAACCCACAACTGAAATCAAATCCTAGTACTCAAGAATCACTTCATTTCATTAACAGATTAAAAAAAACTCTAAGCTAAACAGTCGCAAAAACTGCTTCACAAATAATAAGTTAATCGCTTTTGCATCTTTTTTTTTTATTTGTCCGATTTTAGTTTAGAACAAAAATGCCTTGTGCCTGCTTACAGTACAGCTGTAATATTTGCATTTTCGGGCTGACATATCCAACTGACCTCATCAGAAATTTGTTGTCTGGGTTAACCATATTAATGTTAAAATTACTGGAGACTCAAATATTAATGAGCAATATTTACAATAGCCCAGTACATGGATGTGCAGAGAAGATGGACCTCCTTTTAAAAGTGCTAAGTAATTAGATGAGTTAATCTTGTTTGTCAAGATATAAAATAAAATTAAAATCCCTTCGTGAATTTCAAACAAAACAAAACTAAAATATAAGTAATATCCATAGTTAAAACTAATTTTCAACCATAAATTGACAACCTCTTTTTCTAAGCGTTGACTGACTGTAAAAATCAGATGGAAAGTTCGGATTGTTCATCCATTGTTAAATTTTAGTCTTGTTCTAGAACTTGAGTTTATGTGCACATCCAATTTACAGATTAGCTTAATTGTATGCAGACTGTTGGTTCATCGTTTCTCGGCAGATATGCTCAGACTTTAGAAGGGAAATGCCTCATAAGTCGTCTCTGATGACATGCCTGAGACGAAGGTAGTGGTTCTGTTTCCCCCCCCCCCCCCCCCCCCCCCTCAAGATGCGGCCCCATAACCCACACTGGGAAAATTACAATCAACAATAAAGACACTGAAAACATCACAATTTGAAACCGTGGTTCTGTAAACAAATTAAAACTTCAAAACCAAGTTCTCCCCCTTTGGGTTCCATTTTGGCGTTTAAAAAGAACAGACCCACTGCCCTCAGCAAGCAAGTTATAAAAAGTGAGTTTGCTGAAATTAAATATGTTTGGCCGAAAGGTGCAGATACCGCAGCCTAGATATAAACCACAATCAGCCAAAGGACAACCGCAGAAAAAGGAAACAAAGTCAAAAGATGAATACAAAAATGCAGAAGTTAAACAGTAAAAAGAGTCTATGGGTTAAGCAAAAATTAGAAACCATGACACGACACCAGCAAACAAAGAAAATAAAAAAATCTGAGACCACATCGTTCCTCTTGCAACATACAAGTGCAAATCTTGGACCATCCTGAAATCACTAAAAAAGAAAATTCGAGATTTTGAATTTAAATAATATAGAAAAATTCTAAGAACATCAAAGATGAAGCTTCCCCCAATCCAGACATTATAGGAAAACAGAACATTGAACAAAAAAATGGCTCATAAATAATATCACATCTCAGAAAATGAACTACTTTAGTTCTATTAAATGGCACAGTATTCTCAACACAACAAGGATAAAAGGTGGTGGGGTCTCTATGGCAAGGCGGTCAAGCCATTTGTCTTGCATTCTGAAAGTCACAGAATTATTTCATGGGCATGTTGTTCGGTTCATAAATGCAGTTTTAAATGGAGACCTCTGGGGATCATCAATGAAGCTATGAGTTTATTCTCTGTCAACATTCTTGGCAGGTGGCTAGCCATTCTGCCGAGACAGACCCAGCCATATGGGATACACCCAGTGCAGTGAATTAATCAAGTAACAGAAAGTGTATTGATTGGCACTCATAGAAAGAAGTAGATAGATAGAAGAACACACTAGACAACATAAAAATCGAAAACTATAGTGCAGTGAAGTTGATCCTCTCAACTTTATAACTTTTAGTAATGCAGGGCATGGGTCCTGGAAGAAAAGGCAGGGGTTGACTATCAAGAAACTGAAGATTCGATTGGCATGAGAATGTCTGAGGCAGGGGAAATGACAAAGGATCAAGAATCTTTCTAGCTGGCCATGACCAAATTGACATAGAAAAGAGGAGTTACATGAAGATTTTAAAAAACACTAAAATAATCTAATGCATGATTATGACCTCAACAAGTCATTGAGGAATGTGTTATTTCTGCTGTGCAGAGCTGATAATAGTATATAAAGCTGCAAAATCAAACTATAAAAAGTTACATGGAAGCTAAGAAGCCAAATGTAAATTAACAAGAACAGCTGCTCCCCGTGTGGGTTCCAGGGCCCCATTATGGGGACACCAGGAAGACCCACTGCCTTTCCAACAAGCATATCATAGGAACAGACTGATTGGAGGCATCTTTCAAAGTTAGAGTGCATCCACTTGAGAGGCAAGAAACCAATAGTCTGCACATAAATAAGCCAGATGTGTGAAATGGATATGCACGCAACACTCAGGTTCTGGAACTAGACTAAAGTCTAGAGCCTACATCCAAACAAGCAACATGTGTTAAACTGATTTGCACGCAACACTCAGGTTCTGGAACTAGACTAAAGTCTAGAGCTGAACCATCAGTCTGGAAACAAATGAGCCAGATCTGTAAAACACATGTGCATGCAAAACTCAAATTCTGGAACAACACTGAAGTCCAGAAATGGATGAACAACGAGAGCTTTCTGCCAGAGTTTACAGCCAACAAATGCGAAGAAGAAGTATAGCAAAGGACCTTTCGTGCCAGCATGTCATGAGACAAATTTGAATTTCCCTCTGAATTGCCTGCCAGAAAGATGGACCGTCTTAATAATGGAGGGAAGTTTATTTGAAATAAATAAACAACTTAAAATTAGGTGGCAGAGGAATGTAAATGAACTCTAGCGGAGGTGCCAAAGGAATTGAATTCTCCAATCAGCGTCACAGCTGGTACCGCAGAAAAGTTATTCTAGGAATCTATAAACAGCTGGACAGAACCTGGTCTACAGGTGAGAACTCTGTGGAGATCTTGTGGGGGAACCAGAAGTGATCACACATGAATACCAGTTGGAATTTGCAGAGAAAGGCATTTCAGCTGCATTGCTAACATATAAGCATAAAGACGTTCCCCACGAGCTGACTGCCGTAATTCCAGTCCCCACTCTGCATGGGTATGTGTGGTGTTAAGGAGATGTCAGGCTGTCTAATCCAAATGGAAGACAGAAACTGGATTCTTGGAAAGAGAGCTCCACTCCTAGAGATGAATGGAGGCAGGTGACAACTACAGCAATGAACTGCAAGGGTATCAGAATGCTGAAGAAGAAAGATATATTATGTCTTAATCATGGCATTTTGGCAAAAAGAAGAGACCATTTTTGTCTCCCAGCTGCTCTGCTCTCCAGATCTGCATTCCTGTTGATTTTTCTTACTCTCGAAGTTGACAATCACAGCTAAAAGTCATCAATTTCATGACATTCACAGCTTAAGCCATCAATTTCATGACATTCACAGCTTAAGCCATCAATTTCATGACATTCACAGCTAAAAGTCATCAATTTCATGATGTTCACAGTTAAAAGCCATCAATTTCATGACATTCACAGCAAAAAGTCATCAATTACATGAGATTCACAGTTAAAAGTCATCAATTTCATGACGTTCACAGCTAAAGCCATCAATTTCATATTCACAGCTAAAAGTCATCAATTTCATGATGTTCACAGTTAAAAGCCATCAATTTCATGACATTCACAGCAAAAAGTCATCAATTTCATGACATTCACAGCTAAAAGTCATCAATTACATAACATTCACAGCTAAAGCCATCAATTTCGTGACATTCACAGCTAAAAGTCATCAATCTCAAGTTATAAAAGAGATCATGGAAAATATGAGACACACATACTATCCCAGAAGATAATTTCCAGGATGTATTAAAAACTGAAAAACACAATGACAGCTATGTATGTACAGTGGAGGGAACCTTTTCAAGAGAAAAGAGTCCTAACTAAATTGTAGGTAAAGCAAACATAATTTGTTCAGTCCACTTTCCTGCTATCAACTGTAACGTTTAAAATTTTCAAACATTATTCCTTTTTTTTTTCTTTAAATCTTGGCTAAATTATAGTAATGCTACTACTATAAACACTCTCAAAAAGATATCAACATCAGTAAACTTTACAGTTTTGAGTGCATGATTGTTTATATGGCTTGATTCCTAACTCCTCTTTGGAACAGTAAACTTTACAGTTTTGAATGCAGGATTGTTTATATGGCTTGATTCATAACTCCTCTTTGGAACAGTAAACTTTACAGTTTTTAATGCAGGATTGTTTATATGGCTTGATTCATAACTCCTCTTTGGAATGGAGAATTCTAATTGTTCCTGAGAGCATGAAAAATGTAACCTCTCATCTGGATAATGCCCCGACATTTCACTATCCCAGAATATCTGACAGCCCACTGTGGCTTCCAGTTCTGGCTATCAGCTTTTGTTGCAACAGCCTGCACAGTCTCCTGCAGTTTTTCCGCTGTGATGAACTCTAGAAAACAAAGACATCAAGTTGCATTAACTTTTGCAGTCCCAGTAGCTTTTCGCTGATATGCCTAAGAATACAAACACTAAGAAAAATTATGATTTTATTACACTTTTCAAGAAATAAGATTTTTCAGTAGAAATGGACACTGAAAAAGCCATACTTCAATAACACTGTCAATTCAGCTCTCCCCCATGACCTTCCCCTTCTCTCTCTCTCTCTCTTTTTTTTTCAAAGTCACTCTCTAATTCTCTCTGCAATGTCCTTTTTGGTCTGCCTTTACTGGAAAGACATTATAGTTATTTACTTATCAGGTTTTCTTAATGTCTGTCTTACCCAAAGCCAGCGCCTTTTCCTGACCTCTTGATTCAATTAAATCTGTTTGGTTCTCTCCTAAAGCCTGTTCAGTCGGCTGGTTTTTGGGGCTTCAGTGTTTTTAGTAGATGAGGGGTGCTTTATTAATATCCTACCCAAAACAGGGGAAATCCACAGGTCACGGGACAGTCTAATATTTCAGGGGGTGGTAGATAGGCTGCATGTAGTTGTGGGACCTAGGCTGCATGCATTTGTGGGAGCTAGGCTGCACTCTCTTGTGGGATACAGGTGGGTTGGGGTTAGGGCCAGTTCTAGATGTTTTGGGGTCGTTAAAAGCATCAGAAAGCCGGGAAACCCAGTCTTACCACCCTCGAAAATGTTGGACTCTCCTGTGACATATTCTGGGTTAGGATATTAATAATGGACCAGATGAGGTTGCCAACCCTAAACCCAATCCTACAGTTGGCTGCCTCTTATAATATGCCTGGCATTTAGCATCCTTACTTATTTCTTATGGTCCGTATCGACATCCTAGCAGATTGGCACAGCCCATTCGGGCTCCGTTCTTTAATGCAAGCCCTCTCAGCCTACCCAATAGGAGATGATGCACCTATTCCTCTTTCTTTGCCTCGCAACAGGTTTCTGCATGCTTTTCCCCATTTAATACCTATTTCCATCTGGTTGTTCATTGTTTTTGACTCCTACATCTCAATGTCTCTCCCTCTAGAATGGAGCACATTCAATATGTCTGCCTTGTCAATACTTCTACCTCCACTAACCACTGCAAATGCTCTGTTAACTCTTTCAACCCTGGCATGTCCCAGTGTGTAACCCAGTCTAGTTGGAGTTTCCCAGTTTGGATCTTCTTAAGCATGCATGCTCACTGAGTCTGTTACTAACAATGCACGCATTGCTCTCAACTCCAACAGCCCTGTCCCTGTGACATCTGCTATCGCAATCATCATGCTAGACGTAGCTTAAGAGAATGCCTGGCTTTCTTCTTTTATTGTTTTCCTATTCACCTGTGCTGTGTATGCTCATCCAGACCACACCCAACAAATCAATGAGCCATCTGTATCGATCTGTGGTCTCCAACGTGAGCTTCAAGGCAGCATCAAGCAATTTTGAAAGTGAGAGCATTTGTATGTGTAATAATCTGTTTTAATTTTGAAAGTGAGTGCATTTGTATGTGTAATAATCTGTTTTAATTTTGAAAGTGAGTGCATTTGTATGTGTAATAAACTGTTTTAATTTTGAAAGTGAGTGCATTTGTATGTGTAATAATCTGTTTTAATTTTGAAAGTGAGTGCATTTGTATGTGTAATAATCTGTTTTAATTTTGAAAGTGAGTGCATTTGTATGTGTAATAATCTGTTTTAATTTTGAAAGTGAGTGCATTTGTATGTGTAATAATCTGTTTTAATTTTGAAAGTGAGTGCATTTGTATGTGTAATAATCTGTTTTAATTTTGAAAGTGAGTGCATTTGTATGTGTAATAAACTGTTTTAATTTTGAAAGTGAGTGCATTTGTATGTGTAATAATCTGTTTTAATTTTGAAAGTGAGTGCATTTGTATGTGTAATAATCTGTTTTAATTTTGAAAGTGAGTGCATTTGTATGTGTAATAATCTGTTTTAATTTTGAAAGTGAGTGCATTTGTATGTGTAATAATCTGTTTTAATTTTGAAAGTGAGTGCATTTGTATGTGTAATAATCTGTTTTAATTTTGAAAGTGAGTGCATTTGTATGTGTAATAAACTGTTTTAATTTTGAAAGTGAGTGCATTTGTACATGTAATACTTACATTGTGTTTAATTATAAATTTAAAAAAATTTCAAATATTTACTAAACAAAATGACATGGACATGTTTGTTTTCATGAGCAGTTTCCACATCCACCGTTAAAAATCTAATTAATATCATAACATGCACATTTAATTATAGATTAGGAACACATTCTGACCAAAAAACATTTTCATATGTTCAGGTTTCTTTTTATGCGGAATTTTTTGGGGTCTTCTTTTTCATCACATTTTGTTAGGGTGGGGGGAGGCGGATGGAAGTCTTACCATACACTTAAGGAAGGGGGGGGGGGGGGGGGAGGGTCAGTCTTGCAATATACTCGAGGGGAGGCGGGGTCTTGTCATATACTCGGGATTGGGAGGGGGGGGTGTGACCTGAGAAAGGTTGGAGACCACAGGTATAGATAATTAATAACTCACCTTCAAATATCTTTAATCCTGACTATACAATCCAATGTCAGACTTGGACATAAATCAAACAGCATGAGAGAAAACTAGCCACCTATGAAATGAGATGTTTGAGAAAGGCTGCAAAAAAAACCTAAGTTACCGAGTGAGAAATAAGATCAGAAGAACTAATGGAACAATTCCCATAATTAAATTTAATGAAAAACAAAGACTAAAATGGTTCAGCCACTCTGTGAGAATAAATTCAACAATGCTGGTAGTGAGAGTGTCCAATAAGAAAATGGAAACACCAAGAGGCAGAGGGAGACCTAGAACAGTATGGATTGAAGGAGTCACTGACAGCCTAAGATCTTAGTTATCTACCATCTGTTTAACTGTGACTCTTAGAATAACAAAGCAGATACTGATAATAGAAGAAAAATCCTATCTATTGATACTATTCTCAGTTGCCTACCTGGTTTGTCATTGTGTGTGAGAAGTTGAACATTGACAGATTTTGCATATCCCGTCAGATCCTGGGGCATGACGCAACAAGACTCCAGATTTACTTGGTCAATACATGGTTTTACCTGAGATACAAGTAACGAAAACTTTACCTTTACCCAAACAGGTAATAAAGAGGATAAAACATATCAACTCTGATGTAATTTGTTATAACTGATTGGGATTTTACCTTAGATATAGTTTACATAGTCAATACACAATTTTACCTGAGATACAAATAAGGAAACTATATCCTTATTGAACAGGACTCGGATTAAGGATTGTTCTCTGAGCCATGAAAACCACCCCCATCAGAGATATAGAAAGGATAGCAGATACTGAACCACTCGAACTCAGAAGACAATACAAAACTCTTTTACAGTATGAGGAATTAAAAAGACTTCAAAGTCACCCACTGCATTTTAAATTTCAAGAGAGAACAAAAAAACAGACTGAAGCATCAGAGCCCCAACCACTTTGCTAGAGAACTGTATAGACAGCACCAAGATCTGCTTGAAAGAGATGTTGTGCGAAAAACTTAGGCCAGAACCATGGACAAGCAAGCCAGAGAAAGCAAATGTAGTCCTAAATGTACCAGGAATCACTTCAAAAGATGCCCAGACGGAGACACAACAGAGAACCCTGGCTCTTGCTATGCTTGATGAGAAGTATCCAAACACCACTTGGACTCAGGTTTTCACCGACGGCTCTGCTACAGATGCAGTCAGAAAGGGGAGTTGTGGAATTTACATTAAACCCCCTAGCAGTAGAGCAGAAACTCTCTCTCTACCAGCAGGTGACATCTGCACTAACTTCAGAGCTGAGGCAACTGCCCTCCTCTCTGCAGTCCAACATCTCATCACTCAAGAACACAGAGGGCACCAAATTGTTATACTTAGTGACTCATTGTCTGTTCTCCAAGCACTATCCAGCAAAAAACAAGACCAACTAATTGCAGATCTAAGGACCAACATTGGTTTACTTTCCAAGGAAGCAGAACTGGTCTTGCAGTGGATACCAGCCCACTGTGGTATTCAAGGAAATGAGAGAGCAGATAAGCTGGCAAAAGCTGGGAGTAATCTTCAACAACCTCATCCACCTTACAGCTACAAGGAAACCAAAACAGCGCTAAAGCAGTCTTTCAAGCGGGAGTGGAGAAGGCAGAATGGAGATTACAGACCAGAGAGTGACAGCATAAGCAAAATCAACAGGAAAGAACAAACATCAATTTTTAGACTTCGGACTGGACACTGTGGTCTTCGAGCACACTTGTACAGGATAGGCATAAAAGAATCTGCTGCCTGTGATTGTGGAGCAGAAAGACAAACCCCAGAGCACATACTGCAGTACTGCCCTAACCTCTCCCAGCAAAGACTGTGGATCTGGCCCAAGGGAGCCACATTGCGAGAGAAGCTATGGGTGACCGGTGGCGATCTTAAACACACAATCCTATTTTTTACCCAGACGGGACTCAATGTTTAGCATGACTGATGTCGAACGCAGAAGAAGAAGAAGAAGAAGAACAGGACTGCTGTATTGTTATGAGTGCTCTAATTTTAACTTTTTTTTGTTGTTGTTGAGGTTGACTGGGTTATCTAGGACCTGCAGTTCTGGCTTGCCATCCAGACTGAGATTACGTAATCCCAGGAGGGACAAATAGGACGAAGGATGGAAACTCACAGTAAAAGAAACAGTTAAGGCCATTTTTGGAGGACATGGTAGACAATGAAGTGGATTTTTATCATTTAACCAAACCTAATATAGATACAAGCAAATACTCAAGTTCTAGAACAAGACTAAAGTCCAGAAGTGGATGAACAACCAGAACTTTCCTCCAATGTTTAAAGCCAATGTTCTTCTTCTTCTGAGCACCCACCAGCTGTAAATCCGGTGGAAAGTTTGGTTATTCGTCCATTTCTGAAATTGTGTATTGTTCCCGAATTTGAGTTTTGCATGCACATCTATTTAACAGATCTGGCTTATTTGTTTGCAGACTGTTGGTTCCTCGCCTTTCAGAAAGATGCACTCTAATTTCAAAGGAAACACCCCCAATGAGTCGCTTTTTACAAAATGCTTGTTAGGGGTAGTTGATCTTTCTTCTTTCCCTAAAATGGGGCCTCACAACCCACACGGGCAGTCCTACAGTTCAACCAATCCTTAGATAATGAGCTCCAGGAAATGTCCTTGAAAGTCGCAACAGCTGGCATGTTGTCGACCACATGACATGCCAGTTGGTCTATAAAAGTATGGGTCAAAACACCATATGCCTGATGGTGCGAAAAGATTCCTTTATTTATTTTTCTCAACTAAAATATTATTTATGTTGTACAACTAAAATATTAAAAAGATGGTGTTACTTTTGCCCAGTTGTACAACTAAAATATTACAAAGACTAGCTGTACCCAGCCACGCGTTGCTGTGGCCCAGAATGGTGAATTGGAAAAGAAGGAAAATAGAAAGCGCAACTGTCTAATATGATTAATATCAGTTATTTGCACAGCTACAGAGATAGTCTGATATGCCGACTCTAGAACACGCAACATATCAGTGAATGTCGATATTAGTGGTCGTTTAAAGTTCATTGTTAGAGAGAGAGAGAGAAAAAAACATTATTTGTGACTACTATACCTCTAACTGACCAACAAAGTGGGAAAAAAATTTGAATAGCTGAGAAAGCGGTATTAAAATAAAAATATTTAAGAAATGAGAACTTTAAAATAAAAATTTTGAGCTCTCTGAGCTAACAGTGTCTGTCATAACCCAACCCCCCCCCCTTTTATTTTGGTCCCTCTCCCAATCATATCTCCCTCTCTGAATGATTGAAAAATCATTACATGGTGAAATTATTCAAATAGAAATAGTTGAGAAATGAGAACTTTAAAAAAATGTTTTAAGCTCTCTCAGTTAACAGTGTCTGGCATCAACCCCCTTACCCCCCCCCCCTTTCCCCAATCATATCATACTCTCCGAAGTATGGGAAAGTCATCGCCTGACGAAATATTGTTATTAAATTGAGCTTGGCATCTGTGTCCACCCAAACTGAAATGGGTAGCATTAATCTGTACTGAGAAGTAAATGTGGCCAGTGTAAAAGCTACCACATCACCCATCAAGCACCAGTACTACTGCTACCACAACCACCACCACCTTCACAACAACAACAACAAAACTGTCACTACTGTCTGTGCAGGTTGGTGTAGCCAGAGGAGTTATCGCCACATGCTATCGCAACAGACTGTTTAGTTTAATTGTGCCCCCGACATAGAAAAAAAAACCTTCATCACCTAACCAGTGATGGTACCCACAGTAATATTCCCTTACTAAAAAAAAAGTACACTATACTCAAAAATAGCGGAAATAAAAACTCGCCCTCTCATCTCTCCCTCTCCGAAGGGACGATTTTTAATTGACCTTGGCATCGACCAAAAATAAACTGGTCTGAAAGCCATCTTAGTTAACAGTTTCTGTCATCAACAAATAGTGTTTAATCGAGTGAAGCATCGTGGGAAGGCTAATTGGGACTTTACTGAAATCAGATGTCTTTGGGCGAAAGATGCAGATATTGCAACCTAGCTGTAAACCACAACACAACGTGGCAACTGCCCATTTAGGGGGAAAAGAAAAATTAGTATCAAGCGGGGAATCGAACACCGGTCACTCGCTTGAAGGGCTGAATACTTATAACTATACTACCGAAGACAGAGGACTTTGGGTCAGATATCGCAGCCTAAATGTTAACCACAACACAACGTACCAACCGCCCTCTCAAAGGCGAACGAAGATTATCCGTGATTTGACCATAGAGCATCACGTCGCCGCTATCGCAGGCTAGATGTAAACCCTAAAATCAAGCGAAAAAGGCGTAGATATCGCAGGCGAGCTGTAAACCACTACACAACATGGCAACCGCCCATTTAAGGGGAAAAGAAAAATTAGTACCAATTGGGGAATCGAACACCGGTCACTTGCTTGAAGGGCTGAATACTTACAACTATACTACCGAAGACTGAGGACTTTGGGTCAGATATCGCAGCCTAGATGTAAATCACAACACAACGTGCCAATCGCCCTTTCAAAGGCGAACGAAGATTACCCGTGATTTGACCATTGAGCATCACGTCGCAGCTTCGCAGGCTAGATGTAAACCCTAAAATCGAGCGAAAAAATGCGTAGATATTGCAGGCTACCTATAAACCACAATAAAGCATGGTAGCCGCCTTGTTAAGGGCACACAAAAAATTATATATCACCGAGCGGGGAATCGAACACCGATCACCGGCGTGACAGCCGTAATGATAACAACTACGCTACCAAAGACTTGCGCATTTAGTAGAAATGAAATTATATAATAAGGTGAAGTTTAGTGTTACACACACACAGAGTCAAAGGTGGCCAATCAACTAAAAACAAATCCTGGCCGGCAACGAAACAAATAATGAAATGATCGTTGCAGGAGTTATGTAATTCACGGTTTGTGCAACACTGATGCATACAAACACGCGCAGAGTCTAAGGCAATGTTGTGTGAAAATTTTAAAGCGATCGGTAAAGAAATGTCGGAGATGGATCATGGGGGAAAAGGTATCTATTGGCAGCCCTGCGCATCAGTCTAAGGTGGTTGATCAACTAAAAACAAATCCGGGCCGGCAACAAAACAAATAATGATTTGATCATTGCTGGAGCTACGTCGTTCATGGTTTGTGAGATTGTCTTACATAAAATCACATGTTGAGTCAAAGGCAATGTTGTGTGAAAATGTGAAAGCAATCAGTTCAGCAGTTTCCGAGTCTATTGTTAACGACCATGGAAAATAAAAAATTTTATTAATATAGATGGTGTTACTTTTGCCCAGTTGTACAGCAAAAATATTACAAAGATGGCTTTACTTTTGCCCAGTTGTAGAGCAAAAATATTACAAAGATGGCTTTATTTTTGCCCTGTTGTAGAGCAAAAATATTACAAAGATGGCGTTACTTTTGCCCAATTGTACACCTAAAATATTACAAAGATGGCGTTACTTTTGCCCAATTGTACAACTAAAATATTACAAAGATGGTGTTACTTTTTCCCAGTTGTACAACAAAAATAATACAAAGATGGCTTTAATTTTTCCCAGTTGTACAACTAAAATATTACAAAGATGGTGTTACTTTTGCCCAGTTGTACAGTTCCTCCAGTGCATCCTTTGTCAAATCACAGATACCAAGGAAAAGTACTCTGTCAGCTAACACAAGCTGCTCCATTACCTCCCAGTACGACTTGATTGCATTCAGTAACGCCTGCAACAAGACAGATTAAAACATGAATAAACCCGTGTCTGCTGGCTGGCACCGATTTTTTTTAAATTATGTTACAGCACAGGCGCCGGAACCTGGAAGCTCAGGTCCTTAAAGCCCCCCCCCCCCCCCCATGAAGCCCCTATCTATCTATCTATCTATCTATCTATCTATCTATCTATCTATCTATCTATCTATCTATCTATCTATCTATCTATCTATCTATCTATCTATCTATCTATCTATCTATCTATCTATCTATCTATCTATCTATCTATCTATCTATCTATCTATCTATCTATCTATCTATCTATCTATCTATCTATCTATCTATCTATCTATCTATCTATCTATCTATCTATCTATCTATCTATCTATCTATCTATCTATCTATCTATCTATCTATCTATCTATCTATCTATCTATCTATCTATCTATCTATCTATCTATCTATCTATCTATCTATCTATCTATCTATCTATCTATCTATCTATCTATCTATCTATCTATCTATCTATCTATCTATCTATCTATCTATCTATCTATCTATCTATCTATCTATCTATCTATCTATCTATCTATCTATCTATCTATCTATCTATCTATCTATCTATCTATCTATCTATCTATCTATCTATCTATCTATCTATCTATCTATCTATCTATCTATCTATCTATCTATCTATCTATCTATCTATCTATCTATCTATCTATCTATCTATCTATCTATCTATCTATCTATCTATCTATCTATCTATCTATCTATCTATCTATCTATCTATCTATCTATCTTTCTATCCATCCATCCATCCATCCATCCATCCATCCATCCATCCATCCATCCATCCATCCATCCATCCATCCATCCATCCATCCATCCATCCATCCATCCATCCATCCATCCATCCATCCATCCATCCATCCATCCATCCATCCATCCATCCATCCATCCATCCATCCATCCATCCATCCATCCATCCATCCATCCATCCATCCATCCATCCATCCATCTATCTATCTATCTATCTATCTATCTATCTATCTATCTATCTATCTATCTATCTATCTATCTATCTATCTATCTATCTATCTATCTATCTATCTATCTATCTATCCATATATCCATCTATCCATCTATTTATCTATCCTATGTACCTATGTACCTACCTACCCACCCACCTAGCAATATGTCTGCCGGCCTGTCTATGTATCTATGCACATATGTACCTATATACATGTCCATCTATTTATTTATACATATATGTGCCTTTCCTGCATATATATCATAAATTATTGTAATGTTTCCACAACAAGTCTTATGTCAGACAAACTCTTTTCCAAACTCACAGGAGAAACAGAATCATCATCATTATCATCATCAACATCCACGCTAGAAGGGGCCACAGCCAGCATCAGTGTATCCACAAAACTGGTGCCAAGTTCACACAGCACTGAAATATAATGTTAGGCATACGATATACAACAGGGAAAGAGAGAAATTAAACTATCATCCCACACAGTCTTAGCCCAAACATTCATGCAAATTACTCTCAAACACACAGAGTCTTATCTCCCAAAATCACATAAGCCACTTTTACCACACACATGCTTATCCAAAACAATCATGCAAATCACAGGCATCCCACACAGTCTTATCCCACACAAATTGTGCATCTCTCATCAAACACCATATTCTTCTAACATTTATGCAAACCTCTCTCATCATATTTTTATCTCAAATGTTCACACAAATCAAACTCTCATCACCCAGTCTTCTCTCATACATTGATGCAAATTACACACTTACCCCAAACATTTATGCAAACCTCTCTCATCACAGTTTCCTACCAAACATTCACGCAAATCTTTCTCATTACAGTTTTTTCAAAAACAAAAATGCAAACCTTTTCTCCCAAAAGTTCCTGCAAACCTCTTCATCATTCTCCTCCTAATTATCCATGCAAATCACACTTATCACCCAGCCTGATTTAAAAACATTCTTTGCAAATCAAATTCCCATCACAGAAAAGTCTTTTCTCAGAATGACATACATATCAAACTATAGATGTTCACATATCTCTTACAAAGTCAAGCAGGTCAAATTATAACATTCCATTTAGCTAAAAACTGACCACTGCAGCACTTACCTTTGTCAACCATGTCACTGATCACACTAGCAGGTTGTGGTGCACAAATAAACACTTTCACTGAAAACAGAGAAAAATACATTCAATAATAAACAAGCTCAACATCACAGTTAATTGTAAAAGTTGAATCTATGACATGAATATCTATTTATTTTATGCAGTTTCTGCAAAGATGGTATTCTCGTGCAGGGCTGGAGAAATGACTGGAGTTGGGGTGAACAGAACGCTAATTAATCTGGCTGAAAAATTATGAAGTCGGCTTTATAAGCTTGCTAGCTTATGAACATGCTAGACCTCTATGGGCTGGGGGTCAGCCTGTGATGTACCAGCTCAATTGCCCTGTCCAAAAGAATAATCATCAATAATAATCCAAAAGAGTAAATCTGAGTATGATATTTTCCTTAAGAAAGCTTTCTGTAGCCTACACTTAAAAATGAAATAAGGACATAATAGGCAGGAAGGAGGGCGGGTGGGAAGGCGGATGGATGGACAGAAAGGCAGATACAGTAAAACAATTAGTAAAAAATGAATAAAAAATACACACTGGAAATCAATTAATTTATGAAGCTTTCAAATACAAACCTGTGATTTTAACTTCTTCTCTCTCGTTCTCATCTAGTTTCTGCACATTCTCAGAGTTGACTTTATATATGTCTGTGATATTTTGCAACTCACTCTTATCTACCGATTCCAGATATGCTGCCAGTGTTTTCCCAATACATTCACAGACCTGAAAAATAAGAAATCTAAATAATAATAAATGCGTAAAAATACTTTTTACTGCCTGTGCTTACCAAATTTGGGCTATCCTCCGAATAACGGTCCCAAATTATCGAGGCAGAAAATATACCCAAACAGGGCCTCAGTCACGTGTCAATTGCAAACTTCCGGGGACTATACCACCACCGCCAAGAGTATCCCCCACGCCGCTCATGTGGTGTGGATTGGGGCTAAACTAGATGGCTGGGACTCACGAGCAAATAAAATGAAGGAAGCTGCAGGAGTTGTAGTAGCTGCTGCTCGTGAGTCCCAGCCATCTAGTTTAGCCCCAATCCACGCTGCGGGGGGCGTGCAAGATACTCTCGGCGGTGGTGGAAGTCGCAGGAAGTGCGCAGTTTCAGTCGCCGGAAGTGCGCAACTGACATGTGACTGAGGCCCTGTTAGGGTATATTTTCGGCCTCGATAATTTGGGACCGTTATTCGGAGGATAGCCAAAATTTTAAAGCAGTGTGGGGCAGAAGAGGTGAGGGGGAAGATCAAAACTGGAACAGTCAAAGAAAAGAGACATTAGATAACATTGTGCTTAGTCTTAGTCTTTCCTCTTGTGTCGAGTGCGGCACATAGGGCAGAGGTCATGACTCTCCATGCATGGCGGTTCGTTGCAATCTGTTGTAGGTCTTGGATGTTTGAGAGGCCCATGAGCTAGCCTTCCCTGATGATAGTTCTACGTAGGGTTTCCCTTGGTCTTCCACGAGATCTTTTCACCTGTGGTGTCCAAATGAGGGCTTGGTAAGGAAGTCTTGATTTATCCATTCTAAGGGTGTGGCCGACATAGTTCCAGCGGCGTTTTCGTATAAAATTAGACACATACTCTTGCCTGGATTCTTGCCTTATTTGTGTATTGGTTCGGGTGCTGACTGGAAAGATCAAAGCTAGTCAGATGCAGATCAAGGTAGATGATGCTTGATGACCTGAAGCGATGGCATGGTGAAATATCATCAGGGGAACTGATTAAAAAAACCAAGGAACTAGATCTGTTCAGAGTCATCAGTACTTATGCAGCTTGGCAGGGCACATAATAATCCCTTTTACCAAACAAATTTTATCTCCACGTATAATAAAATAACTGACACAGGAACATGAGTAAGTACCATTTAATTTAATATGTTCTAGCTGTGATCAGTAAATTTTATCCATAACTTCTGAGGAACATGTAACAAACTCAGGCTCAGCCCCGCCCAGCTACACCTTATGAGTGACGAAGACCAGGAAACTGTGATTGGACGTTCATCCATGCATGTTAAACTTTGGGACACGTAAGTTTAAGTGTTAGGGATGCCAGGTTGGTACGATGTTGTACTGTCTCGGTGGTCTTACCAGCGACCACACATGCTCTATATTACAGGATGTGAGCGGTTTTAATGACCCCATAACATGTACAACTAGCCCTAACCCCAACCCCCTCTACCCCACACACTGAACCTAGGTCTGATGAGAGAGTGCATTCTACACCCCTCTAACGTAGACCAGCCTGACCAATAATCAATGACAGGTCAGCTAGTGTGTAGATGATCGGAGCTAGGCCTGAGTTCATTACTAGTTTCACTTTTGAAAATTGTGGGCCGCGTTAGCACAGTCGATAAGAGGCTCGCTTTCAAATCCAGCTGCGACTCGCTGCAGCCCACGGGTGGTGTTCGAGACTGGGCGGCTCCTGAGGTTCATCCAGTCTCTAGGAAATGAGTACCAGAGTTTACACTCTGGGGTAAATGGAGGAACGTCGCTGTAGCTACAGAGTTACGTGCGGATGGCGACACAAGCAGACAATTCTTTTCAGATCAGCTGTCCGTACTGGTGGCAGAGCACTTATGGTTTAAAACCGTGTGCAATGACACTGGTTCACATCTCCCGACTTTACTTTTTTTACCTTTACTTTTGAAAATGTAAAGACATTTCGTTACACCAACTGGCTCACATTTAACAACCGACATGATTGTATGAACATGATCAGAGTGTCCTACTTGAAGTTGTCATTATCAAATTTCGGGCCCGTTGTTAAAGAATCCCTGTATTGTATAACGTACACTACACTTACAATTACTCACCTCTTCTGTCGAAGTCTGATTTGGTTTTCTCTTCAAACGGGTCCAGTTAATTATATTTCCACTGTGTATCAGCATTGATTTCGCATTTGGAAACAGTGGGGTGTCTTCGGCCATCACAAAATAACAATATAATATAATATCGAACAATATAGACGTAGAATAATTTTTTTTTATGTATTATGTGTTTAGTACGTAGTGCAGGCTTTGGCTTTTAGTAGAGGTTTATAAGTTATGTGAACTTGTTGATGATTTTGTAATACGCCGATATCCGCGTCAGCGACTTAACTTAATATAATTGTTTACTTCTGTTAATTTACGCCATTCGTAAGATTTTCCCGTTCTCAATTTTCATGTTGTTTACCGTCACAAAACTGGAAGGAACTGGAAACATGACAGAAATAATTTCTATTAGAAACTTACATAATTTAAAAACCAAAGCTGGAGAAACTGGAAATAGGATATACAACTGGGAGGACTTGAAATATGATACAGATGCATATTAATTTTATTATTATAATTTACATTACTAAGACCAAGAAGTCGGTGAGGAAATCATTTCCAGGAAGACTTGCAAACACTTAAAGAGTCACCAACTGGATAATCCCTGTGTGGGTTTCTGGGCCCTATTACGGGGCGGGGGGGGGGGGGGGAATAGACCCACTGCCTACCAAAAAGCATGTCGTAAGAGTCGACTAACTGGGAGCTTCCTTCGAAGTCGGAGTGCATCTGCCTGGCAGGCAAGGAACCAGCAGTCTGCATACACATAAGTCAGATATGTAAAACGGATGCACTCCTAAAACTCAGGTTCTGAACAGGACTGCAGTCCAAAAGTGGTTGAACTACCAGAACTTTCCGCCAGAGTTTGCAGCTGGGGAACGCAAAGAAAAAGAAGACCAACTGGAAAGAGAACGGTCGTCACCGAGATGAATGGGGGCGGGTGGTATATCTGCAACAATGCACCTTCAAGGACTTGGAAATGGAGATAAAAAGTAATCATAATTGCAATGTTATGGATGGGCAGGGCTAGTTCTATTAACGGTAAGCAAAGTCCGCAATACCGACGCCGGCTATCCTCCGAATAACGGGCACAAAAGATGGCGGCCAAAAACAGGGCCTCAGTCACGTGTCAATTGCGCACTTGCTCACGCGGCGTGGATTGGGGCTAAACTAGATGGCTAGGGTACGAGCAAAGCTGCAGGAGATGCAGAAGCTGCAACACAAGGCGCAGGAAAAGGGTCCTTCACGCAGAGACTAGCAGCTACCTGTGTGACATACAAGACAGGAGTCCACCCATATGTCAAAAATATCTCTACCCCTCTCAATTTTTCGTCCTCCTTCTCCCTCCTCTCTATCAACATTTCTCTCAACATATACAGACTGCATTTCTCCAGAGCTGTATCTGGGATTTAGCTTTGGGGGACCATGGCGACGGGGTCAAGCCGTTTGTCTCGTGTTCTGAAGCTCACGAGTTCAGTTCACGAGTGAAATTTAATGGAGATCCATAGGGACAGTTACTTGATCTACGGGGTATGTGCTGTATGCGACGCTATCGGCAATCGATTCTCTATAATTAAAACCTGTATCTATCTTTAGTACTACAAATGCCATCATGAAATGCTCGCTTGCTCAAAGTTCTGCAAGCAAAGTCATATCTCAGAGTAGCTGCAGACAAGAAGCACCTCTTGCATGAAGCCCTGGGTAGGGGTCACAGACTGAATAGACGAAGGTGTTGGGGCGCAAGCTAAAGACACAATCAGACGTGTGCAGACTTGATAATTTTGAGCGAGGAGAGGAGTGGGTCAAGGTGTCCGAACAAGTTTCAGACTTGTGTGGAGTTCTAATCACGTTAGGTCGTGAGTGCAGAGACTGGCCAGCTGGTGCTGCAGAATCAGAAGTTCAACAAATGACTCATGTTATTGCATATGATATCACAACGTCTAGTTTGAGAATGGAGGTGGAGGCAGTCTCTGATGTCTTCCGCTGGCTTGAGAATCAGCTGTACATACCTGCCGTGATTGTAACTGACTCACAGAGCATGTTGAGAAAGGTGGACACAGGCATGCTTCGTGCAGAGTGGCAAGCATCCCTTAAGAGGTCCTGGGTAGTTGGCGTCTTTTTGATATTTTCTTCAGGCATGCCGGTGTGCTGGGAAATGAGCAGGCAGATAGACTGGCTGGCTCTGCACCACTTGGTGGTGAATTATGTATGACAAGTTAGATACTGTGAGAGCCCTTTGGGAGCGAGTGAACAGTGCGGAGGCGCAGATAGATCGTTACGGTCTAAGGAGAATGGCGCTACCAGGTGTTACCAGGGGATATGGCCGACGCTTAACACTAAGAGGAACGATGAGACGGATTTACAGTCAGCCAGTTACTGGTGCAATCGGAACTCTTCACTTGCTGCTGAAGATGTGGACTAATCACTTATGGGAGTGTCCCAAGTGCTGTGATGTCGATTCCTAATTCAACATTCAAATGCTCGCGTATGTAAAACTCACCTGTGCGATGAGCCGCCTGACCATTCGAGACCAAGTGGGAAAAAGTGATACTACCTACAGTGAGAACAACACATTGCACCGAATTCCTTTAGAAGCAGAATATACAATGGCTCGAACATTCTGTTGGGATAGCAGACACAACTACCAGGCGTTACGATACACATAACACACACAAAAACGCGCACGCACACACACACGCATACACAATCTGAGAGGAAAGCAAGAGAGCGCCAAAGAAGAAGATAACTGGTGACACGAAAGACATTAAACATCCACACGGAACAACAAGAGCCAGTACTACCTATGTAGTGACGGGTTGTAAACAGTTACTCCCCACGGCACTTACCAGAAACAGAAACAGTATTCAACTGTACTGTTATATCTGGGCGCCCGATAATCACAAAGTAAACCTGAAGTCCAGATAGGATAAAGCATGTATGAAGATGATGATCTATCTTTAGTAAGTATGGACCCTTTTCCACGTCTTTAGGCATATTGGGCTAGGCCTATATTTTATAGTCTATAATATAGACATATCGGCACTAGGTGGGTGATGTGGTCAACATCCCGCCGGCCACTTTCAATTCCCAGGACTTTTACCTGATTCCCATTTAAGGCTGGGTGTACTTGTGAACTAAGTTAATGTCAGCAACAACAAATCCCGGCTGCTTTCGGATGTGAACCCTTCTGATCCACAAGGGAGAGTCTAGCCAATACACCACGACAGTCCCTGTCCATCTTTTGTGTGTAGTACTTACTATATTTATGCAGCTCTCCAGTCGTAATTGTAACAGACTCTGAAAGCATGCTAAGAAATGTGTAGACAAGGATGCTTCGAGCAGAGGGGCAAGCGAAAGGTCACGGGTAGTGAGCATACTTTGGATCTTTTCGCCAGGCTATGCCGGCGTGGTGGGTAATGAACAGTCAGACCAATTGGCTGGATCTGCACCACTGGGTGGTGTATTGATGCATGACAAGGCGGATGTCGTCAAGGTCCTTTGGGAAAAAGCAACTGAATCGGTAGAGAAAGAAGATTATTATGGCCTGGATACTGGGTGTAACCAGAGGTTCTGGGCGGCTCACTACACTCAGAGAAAAGGCAAGACGGGCATTTAACCAAATTGTGACCGGTACCATAAGTATTAGAACTCTACGCTAGCTGCTGAAGATGAGGACGGAACACGCACGGGAATGCCCCGAGTGCTGTCGTGTCAATTCTTGACCCAACTCAACCCAGCTTACTAATATTACTATCTTTATGTTTAGTTTTACGACAACCACAAGTAAGACCGGACATATCTGCAAAAACAAGAGGCGTGTACAATTCAGGAATCGTTTTGTCGGCTGGTGGTTTTTGGTTCCTGGTCTCTCTGGTGATGTGTCCTTCTTTCTGAAACCGTCGTATCGTTGTATTTTTGGAAGATCTGTTGTTTTAATTCTTTTGACATGGCGTCGGATCATGATGTGTATAATGAATTTGTTGTGGATGGATTTGATCTGAAACTTAATGGCGAAATATTTCTAACAGGAGGAATGATGAGTGGGTTTACCGTTTACATTTTCATTTATTTTAAAATAAATAAATTATTTAATACAAATTATAACAATAGTCATCGCACTGTTAATGGGTATTATTTATTAGACGATATATTATAACGTCACAATTGTATTAATAAATAGTGTTTTGATTTTATGATTTATATATTAATATTATTTATTAAATTGACAATTGGGCTAGCTCCGAATAACGGGCACTAAAGATGGCGGCCGAAAAAATATCATGACGAGCCTCAGTCACGTGTTATGTGTTGTAAACATTCAAAAATTGAAGTCAAAACTAATAAGGAACGAAACAAATGTTATATCAAATCGACTACTTACCGATAATTTTATGCCTTTATATCTGGAAATTATGGCACAGAAGTTAGTTGTAAATAGTGCCCGAAAATCTGCTGTTTGTGGCTGTTACGCCATCTAAACTCGGCTAAGTATGATCGGAGCATCACTCATGCGTAAATTGCTCACTTCCTTCCAACAAACACTTCGCCGAGAGCCTCCCACATGAGGAAATAAAATAAAGACACTGCAGGAGATGCGGTAGCTGCTGCTCGTGGGTCCCAGCCATCTATTTTAGCCCCATTCACGCCGCGGGGAAGACTCTCAGCGGCGAGTTTAACTCGGCGGTTTATTCCGTTTCTCAAAGTTGTCAACAGACACTAATCCTAGTTTTCCCGCGATGTACTTGTGACCGCAAGTGTGCAATTGACACGTGACTGAGGCTCGTCAAGATATTTTACGGCCGCCATCTTTAGTGCCTGTTATTCGGAGGATAGCCGACAGTTGTATGTGTATATGAGCATATGTGCAATTCAATTAATTTTTAAAATATTTATTTAATTTTTTTTTATATAAACCCTTTTTATAAGTTCTAGATAGTTGTTCAGTCACACCCAGGCTCAGACTAGGCAATCAAATAAAGATACACAAAAAGTGCAACATATTGTTAGCCATTGTTTAAGTCACACACATACACACACACACACACACACACACATATAACAATTTCATGTGTATCATACGCTGTATATATGACGACTGTGCAGGGCTTTTTTCTTGGGTACTTAACAGTGCACAGTCCGGCACCATTTTTAAGGATTTAAGGCATAGTTTTTTGTTTTTTTCAGCATTACTGTAATAGGTCATGGGAAGTAAATGTGGCTGGTGAGTTGTTAACCACATCACGCCCCACTGCCCATAGGTCTCACAGTACCGGCACCTTTTAAAAAACTTTTATAAGAAAAAAGCCTGTTAAGTGTGTATCTAAATATATAATATTAGTTTAGTGTGTATGATACAATTAATCATCATCATGAGTGTAGCAGGTTCCTTGCGGAAAAACATTGCTGTAATCATGGTCTCTCTGTAAAAAAACTCACGCTCTTACCAACTCTCCTGTCTCATGCACTTTCCCACCTAAGGTGTCAATTATATCCAATGCCCATCTTTGTGCCGGTCGGCCCCTGCCCCTCTTTTCCGGTACCATGTCTTCTGCTGTTATTCTTTCCAGTCTGCATGGCATTTGATGTAGCCCAAATACTTCAGTGTCCAAGACAAGATGCTTTTTACTAACCAATCTTCTTTGATGTTCATCTCTTTTAGGATGTCAGTATTCTTTTCTTCTTGGTCCATGGTATTCTGAGACTCTTTCTGTAGCGTTGATATATTTAATATTATGAAATAAAAAACGTGTTTTAACAACACCATGGTTAATGTCACCATAAACATAAGTACTTTTCTTCTTCTTTTCTTTACTCCTTGAATACCTTGCGGCATCAGGGCAGGAAGAGATTTCTGCAATGGGCCCTTCTGTTTGTTTCGTACAAAGTACTTTTCAGTGTCTCTAACATTTTTGCAGACCATCGTCTGCATGGTTGACCTCTGACTCTCTTACCGCTGTATTTGTGCAGTAGTGCTCTCTGTGATGCCATGTCTGATGCTAGTCTTGTTACATGGCCAAACCATTTGATTTATTGTCTACCTATAAAGTTCAGTATTGGTTTTCTGCCGACTCTCCTCGTGATAATCATTATTCCTAAGTCAATCTTTCCACATTATGCCTAGCGTAGTAAGTAAAAATGTGATTTCTGTTGTGACTATTTCCTTCTATCTTTTGAACTCATTGTCCGTGTTTTAAGTCTTTTCCTCATGGGTTTCTTGGTCTGCCTTTATTCCTTTGACCCTGTGGTTTCTACTCTACTGCAAGGTCATTCTAGTTATATTTATATAAAGTTTTTTTTTTCTGTGCATGTCCGATTTACCTGGGTAACTTTTCATGGTTATTTCTTTTCCACAGATCCTAAAGAGCTGTATCTTCAAGATCTGACACTGTGTCAAGATACATCATCATCAGATTCGGGAATATCCGCAGTGGATGATGGCCAGGACATTGCCGACATTACTGACCTCAACAACATTTTAGTAAGTGTCTTTCCATAATCATGCATCCAACACCAGCTGCATTCATTCTTAACTCTTTCAGTCCCAAAGAACGCATCATACGTTCATAGGTTCCTACCTAGAAGCCCAGTGAACGCAAGATGTGCCGATTTTTACATCTTTCTTGACTACCCCTTGGGCCTCTGATGCTAAACACTGTGGGACACAAAGAGCTAAAAGGTTCAATCGTGGCACAAGCTGTTTAACATATTGTTGTAAAGTGTCTCTAAGATTGGGCCTCTCTGTTGAGTTTGCCACCAGTTCTAGCCTAGAATAGGAATGAATAAACACATCTTTTATGCTAACACGATTGGCTCAACTCAGGGTGAAGCCTTGATGAAGCATATTGATGTTGTCTTTAAGGTCAAGATCATCATCATCATCATGTAGCATGCCCATTGCAGAATGTCGCTCTTATCACTGTCTGCCTGAAAGAAACTCAATCTCTCGCCAGCTGTCCCACCTCCTGCACTTTCATACCCAAGGATTCATTTATATCATATGCCCATCTTTATGTTGGTCTGCCCCTGCCCCTCATCGATAGAGTTTAAATGTCTACAATATGAGGTAGACAATCCCAGTCCACCCCCAATCCCCAGTTGTCTCTTGCTTCTTCTTCTTCTTTTTCTTCTTCTACTCCTACTCCTCCTCCTCCTTCTTCTTCTTCTTCTTCTTCTTCTTCTTCTTCTTCTTCTTCTTCTTCTTCTTCTTCTTCACCACGTTCACTGGCTGTAAACTCTAGCAGAAATTTCTCTGTTCACTTCTTGACTTTAGTCTCATTCTAAAACTTGAGTTTTGCCTGCACATTCATTTTACAGATCTGGATTACTTCTGGATTACTTGTGTGTAGACTGTTGGTTCCTGACCCCTCAGGCTGTTACACTGCTATGTCGAAAGGAAAACCCCTAATTAGTTGCCTTTTAGGACATGCTTGTTAGAGTGACATTGGGTCTGTTCTTCCCCCCCTCCCCCCCCACCAAAGCTGGGGCTTTGGAACCCACACAGGGAATTGTCTCTCAGTATACCTGGTATATTACCATGATAATAATTTTTTCCAGCATTATTAACCACAGGTTCACGTAAGCAACATTGAGAGCTGGTTGTGCTGTTTTATTTTGCCAATGTTATATTTATTTATGTGATACGCAGTCAACACATTTCTGGTCAGTATTATGGTTAGGGTCGGATCTGTGGCTAAGTCGATGCAAACGCTTCGTAATGCCGGGGTGCTTGCTGGGTTCGATCCCAGCTGCAGGCCATATGCCTTGCGTTGGTTTCGACAGTGGTATCAGGGGGCTGACTGTCCAGAAAGCAATGGCAAACTACTGGATGTAAATTTGCCTAGAGAAGCCACACAACAGCCAGGGTCTGCTGGGGTTGGTTCTGCAACGTCCTGTAAAGGATGCGCTACTAACCACTGTGGTTAGGTGGGCTTTCTGTTTTTAGTCGCGGCAAATTTTTGCACCTGACAATAGTTAGCTGTTCCATTTTCCTGCATAAGTAGGCTGAACACATATAGTTCTGTTGCCTAGCTACTGAGTTGAATGCACAATAATGTGATCTGCAGATTTAATTATATTTGGAATGCTTTTTGAATATGCCTAATGTGTTTTGTATTGTGAACTACTAATTGAGAAGATTTTGAGTAGCCTGAGGCTGCCTTTTTGCAATTAATTGTGTGTGTGATCTGTTGTAACTGCTGCTTCCATCTTGGTTTTCATTGGCATAGTAACGAAGCAACTGTGGGGTGATCTGTTTGCTATGAAGTTGAAACTGTGATTACCTGATTATCTAACAAACAGTAACTTTCTTTCATGCAGGACACAGATTTTTCCTTGGACTGTGCATTGCTCAATGTTGAAGAAGATAGTTTTGATGCAGGTAAATGCTTTGATCACATTGTTGTATCTAAAATTGGTATTCCGGGCAACAGTTATGTTACTGTGCAAAAGAATTAGTTACGTAAACAGTTCAACAGAACAGACAGGGCATCCGTATTTGGGGGAGGGGGGGGGGGGGGGGGGGGGGGGGGGGGGGGGGGGGGGAAAGGGAAACAGGTGAACTTTTTAATCATGTTGCCTCTAGCATCATTGATACGGGAACTCCTTGTTGGCTACTTGGGAAGGGGGTGGAGCACATATAGGACTGTCCTTAGTTCAGTGATGACAGTTCTTGATTCATTCATTCATACATGGGCCTCCCTTATGAGGGCCCAGCATACAAACCAGTTGGCCAGATCCCTGTATGGCGGTGGCTCTCAACCTATGGGTCGCGACCCCATTTTTTCGGTCAAACTTCGCATGGGTCGCCTTAGACTGTTGGAAAACACATATTCATTGAGGTTATGAAGGAAACTTATTGTCTGGGTGTCGCCACCGCATGAGGGAACTGTATTAAAGAGTCACAGCATTAGGAAAGTTCAGAGCCACTGCAGTATGGGTTTCAGGACCCCATTTAGGAAGGACAGGAGAGACCCTCATAAAAGGCGACTAATTAGAGTTGTTTCCTTAGAAGTCAGAGTGCATCTGCCTGAGAGGCCTAGAAAACCAGCAGTCAGCATACTCATATGCCAGATCTGTCAAACAGATGTGTGTGAAGAACTGAAATTTCTGAACAAACAATCTTATCTTCTTTTATCCCACCAGGACATCACACATGCGATAAACACCCGATGACACAAAGTACCACTTTGTGGATAAGGATCACCCGTGGAGAGGTCCCATTAACCATTAACCATTAGACCATATTTATGGCCCGGCTATATTGCGGCCCCTGGCAAGAGCCAGAGTAGGGCTTCAAATAACGAAAAATTGCATCCCACAAAGGGATGACAAACTAATTTTGGAACAAGACCGCCGAAGTCCAGAAGTGGATGAACACCCATGACTTTCCACCGGTATTACAGCTGATCAATGCAAAGAAGAGTAACCATTGGCTAGCCACTCCTCTTTGGCTGTTCCTTTTCTTTAGTGTATTATTCTGTTGACTTATAATAGATTTACATAACATCTGTATTTGCCTTTCTACAGATATATTTTTTAAGAGTGAACCACAGTCACCATGTCGTCAGGTAAGAACACTCAGTTATTTCCCTTGCCAACATTGAGATAAAACACCAAGATCAAAATATATAAAACATTGATGAGACCAGTCGTGTTATATGGCTCTGAAACTTGGAGCACAACTAAAAAAGATGAAGTCTTGTTACAGGTTTTCGAAAACAGAGTCTTACTAGGCATCTTTGGACCCATCAAAGATGCAAACAGCGGTGAATGGAGAGTGAGAAACAACAACAAAATTCATAATCTGTTTAAATCACCACTGATCACTGGTGTTGTGAGAGCTAATAGACTCAAATGGTTGGGGAATATTGAAAGACTGTCAAATGACAGAAAAGTTAAAACTGTATACACCAGGGAGATTAATTGTCGTAGACCACGAGGGAGACCAAGAAGATGATAGAGAGATAATATCCAGACAGACCTGCAAACACTCTGGAAGGAGAATGCCAACTAGAGAGATGAATGGAGGCTGGGGATATCTACAGCAATGAACCTCTAGGGCTCGGAATGCTGAAGAAGAAGAAGAACATTGAGATAAAGGCATGTTAGGAAACTGCTGAATTGTTGGCATTGTTTATGAATCCTATAAAATGCTGAGTCTGTTTAATGCTGAATCAAGAATCAACATCACAGCACTCAGGATACTCCCAAAAGCCCTCTTTCTCCATTTTCAGCAGCAAGCAAAGAGTTCCAATTCCGAATGGGACCAGTAACGCTCTGATTGTACATCCATCTCGCATTTCCTTCCAGTGTTGAGCGTTAACATGATAAAAGGCTAACTCACAACATCTCAGTGAGGATGCATAGGGTTTCCTGTGACCTGAGCTTTGATAATGACCTGCATTCCGCATCAGATGGAGTGACTGAGGTTTAACTACACCAAGAAGTAACTTAACAAACCAGACCGACTAGAATAGCACGTCAGTCATAGTCTGTATCAACGGACAAAGAAATAGTTTGATTGAAAAGCCACTTAGCATAGAACTGAACAAATATAATTGGAGAAGATATTTATATATATAAGGGGCAAAGTTCACAACCAGACAATGTGTCATGATCCTAAAACACAGGCCTTACAGTGGATCAGTCACAGTTACAATGGTTTGGACATGTATGCAGAATATGAGAGAGCCGGCTACCACAGCAGGCATGGGGTACCAAGAACAAAGGAACCAGACCACCAGGATGACCCAGGGTTTGCCGGAAAGACAACATCTGACAGTCCCTGACTGATAGAGGGCTAGAATGGAACAAAGCAACAGCAAAAAATGTTGACAGAGAAGTCTGGAGATCTCTCTGGCAAACCTTTACACTCCAAGGTAGATGAGTATTGACTAAGTGAGTAAGAAAATATGGACAGGAAGAGCTTTTATGAAAAGAAGCCGAAAAAAGGTGGCAGAACGAACAAACAAACAAACTTTATTTTCAAAGGGTTACAAATTGGGCCCTTCTAAGCACTCATTTTTCAGAGTACCAATACCTGTTATCAATAATGCATGTTATGAATATAATAAAGAAATATAAATTATAGAATAATGCATACACACATCATGTGTACACAATCGTACACACTCACGCTTACGTATACATACTCCTACGTTCTCATACATGCGAACTCATATACAGGCATACGTGATACATACACACACACACATCTACATACATATACAAACATAAAACATATACACATACATAGACATAAATGCACAGACAGAAAACACACACACACACACACACACACACACATTTATGGATATACATGCACACACACATTCCATACATACACACCTATACATACATCCATGCATACACACATATACAATCACATGTACAGATGCCCACAACCACACATTTATACTTACATGAATACACACACCCACATACATTCACACATACATGCATACATACACACATTTATCCATACACTCACATCTTTACACACATACATACATACCTAAATACACACATATACACCCACATACATACACACATAGGTACATACATACATGCATACATACATGCCCACACACATTACATACATACACACACATGCATGCATACACACATATATACAATCACCCATACAGATATTACATACACACATGCATACCTGCATACATGCAGAGGGGGAAGGAAGAGGGTGGTTATAAATAAATTCAAATGAGATACAGACACATGAACATGTAACCTTGCAGGCAGAAACAAATTGTGTTTGCACGGATCTCTTTCTTTCCCTCAAGTGAGCTTTTTAATGTTTAATATCTTGTTATAATTTCCAAATGAATCGTCCAACATTGGTTTTTACCATACTTGTTAAAAACAGTGTCTGCCATATGCAGTGCTAGAAGGAGATGGAGCCTTATTACAAACTTTTGAGAACACAGTTTTGTGAAGAATCTTTGGGAGATATAGACAGAAAAGAATGGAGAGGGAGAGAGGCGACAACAGAATTGATATGTTGATATCACTATCAGATACTGGTTTCATTAGGGCTAATAGACTATGACGGTTGGGGCATATAGAGAAAATGGCAATGGGTCTGTTCTGCCCCCCCCCCCCCCCCCCATGTGGCTGCGGAACATAGATCATTTCTTTAACCCACTGACTAACAAGCCCGTTAACCCTTGCAGTTTCTCAGATAACACAAATTTTTAGTCGTGTCAAATTTTTTGCACCATGAACTTCTGATACTTTTTGACTAAAATGTCAGACTCAGAAAGCCACACACACAAAAAAGGATCTTTTCACAAAACGCGCATGGCGTTTTTAACGTCATCGACAAGAGGTAGAATTAATGAAAAATTCATTTTGTGGACAGGAGCTATTTCACTTAAAGAAATGTAGAGAAAGGAATTAACAAATGGCTTAAACTACACTTATCACAAGTGTCGCAATTTTAAGGTGGCAGCGAACGCCAAAACTTACAATTGTTTTAATTGATGTATTACTGTGTTTGTCAACAGCATGAGTTAATTTTTCCTGATGACGGCACTATCAAGGACGAATGGAATCCTCTGTCGTTTCCGGAATTTCTTCGGATGGATGATCCCTTGAGCCCAGCCTCCTCAGCTAATTCTCCACAACAGATTTACACCATCCAGCAGCAGCAGTCACCTCCGGAGCCTATATCTCCCAAATATGAGCCTCCTTCGCCCTCACTCACATTCAATTCTGAAACATTGCACATTGACTCATCAGCCGGCAGCGACCTGACAGAGTTTATGTACACACACATCCTACCTGCAAATAACCAGACTGGCAGCACCCGTACTGTGTACACGGTTGAGTCCTGTCTGAGCCCTGGTGCTGCACCAAATTCCCCACCGGGCATCGTCCTCTTGCCTAAAGTCAAGAAAGAGAACCAGATTAGCATACTGCCTTCTGGGGGTTCATTTGTCTCACCCAATGGGAATATCAGACCTGCAGGTGCCAACATTGATTCTATACTAAACAGCAAAGTAAAGATAAAGCCCAAACCAGGGTCAGAGGTGATAATTCCAACAGGTAAACACACATTCTGCAAATTTTTAATTATGGCAAAAGCCCTTGAAAGTCCTAGAGAAATTATTAGAATCACAAGGTTTGAGGCTAAAAAATAAATAGAACCAAGAAAGTCTTTACTGCACTTAGCAAGCAGTGTTGGTGTCTTCATCTTCTTCGCGTTCACCAGCTGTACACTCTGGTGGAAAGTTCTGGTTGTTCGTCCACTTCTAACTGCAGTCCTGCTCCAGAACCTGAGTGTTGCATGTGCATCAGTTTTACAGATCTGATTCACTTGAATGCAGACTGTTGGTTTCCTGCCTCTCAGGCAGATGCACTCCGACTTCAAAGGAAGCTCCCCAATTAGTCGACTCTTACGACATGCTTTTGGGTAGGCAGAGGGTTTATTCTTGTTTTCCCCACGATGGGGCCCCGGAACCCACACGGGGAAGTGTTGGTATAATAATTCTTTATCCTATTTTTGCCACTTTGTGTCACAGAGGGTGCACAGCTCATTCTGCCATTCTTGTATATCCTGTGCAACTGTTTAACTGTTGTGTAAGGTTTCTAGTTTGGCACTTCAGGAAAACACGCAGTTTCAAAAATATGTCTTGGTTTTTCTAGGTCATCAGGGCCAAAATGGTTAGGTGCCATGATCTAGCTTGTCATACATCAGTTTACCACCAAGTGGTGCAAAACCAGCCAGTTTGTTATGATACTACTGTATTTATATAAATGCATTGTACTGAGAATAAAGAATTTTGTATACATATATGTATGTGAATGTGCTTGTATGCAAGTATTGGTCACAGATACACATTCACTCTTGGATTCATTACAACACAGGCACTACGCAGTGGGTAGCTACCACAGCGAACACCCAGTTGTCGTTCTCAAGTCACCATCAAGCATTCCCGCTGATATCAGCAGCTCCGATGATCTCAGCGGGTGGCATCCTACCAGTCACAGATGTAAGTGAATCATTGTGCCTCTTTGATGATCTGCAGCTTATAAGTACATTGAATTTATTGTTTAAAGAAGCTTAGATTTTACTCTACTTTAGTGTCTACATGATGTCCTCATAATCTTTCAGATGGGCAATCCTATGTTGTGTAAACAAAAAGATCACATGGTTAATTTTATGCTTCTATAGTGAGATGTACAGTGTAACAAGACTCAATATATATGTTGAAAGGATTAATGTTTTTTGTTTCATAATCTGTTTTTGTAAACTCTGTAGTAATTTACCTAATGAGATGCGGCGAAATGAACACATTTCGATCTGTACACATCATGGAAAATCGTAAGGTATGAAGATCCCTCTTGTAAACTCTTTAATTATCTGTATTTAAAATAACGCATTATGTTTTTGTTTTTATCAGGATAAGGTTCTCAAGAGAGCCCAAAGAGTAATAAAAAATCGCGAGTCAGCAAGTTTATCCCGAAAAAGAAAGAAAGAGGTAAGTGTTTTTTTTTTAATCCTACAAAAATAAAGCAACACAAAGATAACACACATAATAGTTTAAATAAAAGCATCATTACACTGGGAAAAAAGGAATTTGTAAGCAGGCTCTCAACAAACTTAAACCATGCTGTGTAACTGACCCTGTCTCCTGTCTTGACTTCAAAGACAGCATAGATGTGCTTTATAAGGCTTTACTGCCAGGTCACATAACCATGTTAGCAGAGACTCATTATCCACCAGGTTAGACCGTACAGTATTGATTATGTCAGCCATGTTCTTGCTTCTTTCCACTACATTACTGCCTTACTTGCCAGTTGGTCCACTCATTCTTTACATTTTACAGCATCCTATCAAATCTTCTTCTTTTCTTTGCAATCTGTTTTGTGTGCTCAAGTAAGATCACCAGATGGGCTGCCTCTATTTATTAGCATGTCACTTGCAGGGCCCTTGTAGTTCCAGGCAGCTTGCTCTGCAAACTTTGCTCTTGAGGCCAGCTTTCTCTTTGTGGTTTAAGAAGAGTGGACAGGCCTGCTGAATGTGCTCAGGGTGTTTGAGGTCCTATCAGACACTGTAGGGACTAAAAGAATTATTGTATGAGATTTAGTTTTATAATTATTTTCTGATTTAAATTTTCCAGTATTTGACGAGCCTGGAGCAACGTCTGCAGCAGTGTCGAGATGAAAATGAAAGGCTTCTCAGAGAAAATGAAACCCTAAAAAAACAGTTGCAGTTTTTGCAAAAAGAAGTAAGATCTTGTTTTTAATTACAAAGTTGAGTTTAGCTCTTTAACCGCTTACTTCTTATGGGAGCCGCATAAACCTTGATTCCTTTTACTTTTTTCTGGGTATTTTTCCACTCTTGTAACATGTGCTAGATCATATTTAGAAGATCCTGGTACAGGACCAAAGTCCAGAAGTGGATGAACAACCAGAAATTACCACAGTAGTTTACAGCTGGTGAACGCTAAGAAGAACTAATCAGTTATGAATATTAGAATGACACAAAAAAGGATTGCATTCTAAAGTTAAATTTTTTTGTTGTTTTCTTGTTTACTAGCTGTAAACTTCAGCGGAAAGTGCTGGTTATTCATCTACTTCTTGACCTTAGTCTTGTTCCAGAACTTGAATTTTGCACACCCAGCTGTTTGACAGATCTGGCTTATTTGTAAGCAGACTGTTGGTTCCTTGCCTTTCAGGAAGATGTACACCAACATGAACGAAACACTTCAGTTAGTCAGTTTTTACATCATCCTTGTAAGGGAAGCAGTAGGTCTATTCTAGTTCGCCCCACAATAGGGCCCAGGAACCCACACATGGGAGTTGTTTTGTTGTTTTGTTTGTTTGATATAAATGATACCTCAGACCCCTTATATTGTGTTCCATGGATGGCCAGTAGTCGGCAGACCACCAAGTGGGAAACACTGATATCAAGTATATATGTATGCAAGCTTGATCTCTGAATGATTGAATGAATCAAGAATTGACATAACTGCACTCGGGACATTCCCACAAGTGCTCCGTCCCCTTCTTCAGTAACCCACAAAGAGTTGACGTGCTAATAGTACCGGTTGCAACTTGACTAAAAGCCTGCCTCTGTTTCCTCTTCAATGTTGAATATCTTCCACAACCTCTACTTACTCCCCATACTTGATCTCTTCACACTGCTTACTCTGTACATGGGAATCACCTTTGACAGAAGTTTGTCTTTCATGGATTACATAAAGGGGGTTGTGACAAGAGCTCAAATAGGTTTAAATGCACTAAAGATTATGGACATGGAGCAGTGAATGCATTTCACACTTTACCAGTACTTAATCATTTCAGTGATTGATTATGGATCGGGGTTACTCACTATCTCGAAGAGTCAGCTAGAGAAACTGGAGCACATACAGAGTGGAGCTGTGCAGCTGATCCTGGGTTGTACAAGAGACACCCCGATTGTGAGCATGTGATACATCCTTGCATAGCCGTGTAGGATTATGATAACATTGGGCCGGGTGTACAGAAAGTCGCCAGCAGGTGCTATAGAGGTGGATGTCCAACAGTTGATTCACGACAATTCACGCCCAGGTGATCTGATTATCTATACAGATGGTTCACTGTTGAGAGAAAAGAGAAATGCCTGGGGGTTCGTAGCGAAAGCCAGTGGAAAATCTTTAGTGCAAGACAGCCTAGCATATGACACCACAACATCTAGCATGAGAATGGAGGTGGAGGCGGTAACTACAGCTCTCCAGTGGCTGCAGAACAAGATGCATACACATGTCGTAATTGTAACAGACTCTGAAAGCATGCTGAAAAAGGTGAAGACATGAAATGCTTTGAGCAGAGTGACAAGCTTCACTGGGTAGTGAGCATTCATTGGATCTTTTCTCCAGGCCATGCCGACATGGTGAGTAATGAACAGGCAGACAGACTGGCTGGATCCGCACCACTGGGAGGTGAATTGATACATGACAAGGCAGATGTGGTCAAGGCCCTTTGGGAACAAGCAACGGAATCAGTAGAGAAAGAAGATTATTATGGCCTGGAGAGAATGAAGCACCTGGGTGTAACCAGAGGGTCTGGCTGGCTGGCTACACTCAGAGGAAAGGCAAGATGAACATTTAACCAGATTGGGACCGGTACCATCAGTATTGGAACTCTGCGCTGGCTGCTGAAGATGAGAACGGAGCATGCATGGGAATGCCCCGAGTGCTGTGATGACAATTCTTGACTCAACTCAGCTCGACACTGCTTACAACAGTATCTGTTGAGAGATTGCCTGTACTCTATCCCTGCATGTAAGCTTGTTCATAGTCTCAAAGATTTAACTAATCTTTTGATTCTTTTGTTTCCTACCCCAGATGATGTCACAGGACAGTCCAACATTTTAGAGGGTGGTAACACTGGGTTTTTTACGACCCCAAAACATCTAGAAATGGCCCTAACCCCAACCCACCTGTGTCCCACGAGAGAATGCAGCCTAGGTCCCACGACTACATGCAGCCTGGGTCCTATGACTGCATGCAGCCTATCTACCACCCACTGAAATATTAGACTGTCCCGTGACCTGTGGATTCCCCCTGTTCGGGGTAGGATATTAATAAAGCACCAATCTTTCTGTTTCAGAATACTGGTCTGAAGCACACAAAGCTGAGCCCAGCCAAGAAAATGTGCCTTATGTGTGTAACCTTCTTGCTTGTATTCAACTTCTCTCCTTTTAGGTAGGTGTTTGCTGAATGTCTTTATTTTGTGTTTGCTTTTTGCTGTTTAGAGTTTTGTTTACTCATCCAGTACTACAATAAAGGATCATGGAAGAATAATGGTTTTTGTGCTTGCCTGCTAAGACAGTAGTCGTTTCAATCTCTGCCTCTATCAGTTTTTATTCCACTTGACCAGTACGGCTCTAAAGTTGTCCCTGCACTATAAAATTAGCACTAAAAATTATAAGAATTTTTTAACAACAATAAATTTTTTTTTTCTAAACTTGAGGAAGGAACTGGCCATTCCACTTCATACTGTGTCCAAGAAAATTTGAAGATTTAACTCCCCTTGGGGGTTCCTGGATCCCAATATGGGGGGGGGGGGAGAGAATAGACTACTGCCTGACAGGCGTTCTGTTTTATGTACTGTCAATCATTTATGACGTAAAGCAGTACCCCCCCCCCCCCCCCCCCCCCCCCAACCAATAATACATTTTTTATGAATTTATGTGTACAGTAATGAATGCTTTTTACATAGATACAGTAGTTGCAGTTTCTTTCTGTGAAAGAAAATAATTTTCATATTTATAAAAGATATTTTGGAAAAAGGCTAAGGTCCAAAGACAGTTTATCACAAACATCATGGAGATTAGTCATCATTTTTCAGTCATGTTAAGAGAAGAGGGAAGTCGGAACATGTGTCTACTGGAAAGATCTGTGTCTGTGGAAAGAGAGATAAAGAAAATGGGAGAAGATTCTTGACAACCTTTTGTCATGTCATGGCGGGGTCTCAAAACAGTACATACTTTTGGAGATCACAGGTTGAGCAGAGGTATGATTGGCCACACTGTTAGGCAAGACACTTGATGATGATGATATATAAAAGAATATCCCATTTACATGTAATTTTTGTTCTTTCCTACTGTAGCTTCATGAATGAGTCCACTAGTACCAGTTCTCAACCTGGAATTAGTCAAAACTACCACCCGGCAGGAAGACACTTGATGTCCTTGGGTGACAGACAAACAGATAAGAGATATGAGGATAAAAAAGCTGTCCCTGCGTATAAAGACATGTGGTCAGCAAGCCTGTTGATGCAGTTTGATGAGGAATTGAGCCTTCTGGCTGAAAAGCTCAATATTACCGGGAAGTTAGGCAATGTGTGCCCCATGTATTTCAACACAACCGAATCCAACAGGTAAGTTATACTCTTTACAGATTTAGACTTCACAATATGTAGTGTCAGTACACCCAGCACGGTGGTTTTCTACCTTTTTCATATATGATAGGCTCCCCACACCCCTCCCTTACAACTTAATCTAAATTATGTGTATGTGTTATCCTAATTATTAGGTTTTTTACGGTAGATGTACTGACTGCTCACCCAGATGTGTGGAATAGATGTGCTCTGAACACATAGGTTCTGGACCAAGACTAAACTCCGGAGGTGGGCGAACACCCAGAACTTTCTGCTGGAATTTTCAGCCAGTGAACGTAACAAAGGAAAATGACTTTCTGAGACAATCTAGCATCATGTTGTGTCTGCACGCCTCTCATGCTGCTTATCTTTCCAGTCGTCACAGACTCTCCATACACCTTATGATATGTCATCCTTCCTCTTCTACTGTGATTGGCACATTGTTTTATTTACAGCTAGGCTGTGATATTTGCACTTTTAAGCCCAGCACATTTGTTTTTGGCTAACTCCTAATTAATTGCCTTGTATGCCATGCATGTTAGAGAGTAGTGAGACTGTTCCAAACCCCCCCCCCCCACCACCCAACCCCCCCCCCCCCCCCTTTTTTTTTCATTTTTGCATTCACCAGCTGTAAACTCAGGCAGAAAGTTCTGGTTGTTTCTCCACTTCTGGACTCTGGTCTTGTTCCAGAGTTTGAGCTTTGTATGTATATCCACTTTACATATCTAACTTTTTTTCTGTGCAGACTATTGGTTCCCGGCCTGTCAAGAAACTTCCTAATTAGTTGACTTTTACTACATTCTTGTTAGGCTCAGTGGGTCTTCCCCCCTCCCCCCTAAAATCAGGCCTTCAGAACCCACAGAGGGACTTTTGTCCCCCTAAAAATGGGGCCCCCTGACCTCATATGGGAATGACACAAAAATATCTTTTCTATTTACTGTGTCCTTTTCATGAACTTCTGAATTTACATTAGATAACTTTATGTATCTTTTGTGTGTATCAAGACTGGCTGAACAACTACGAAGATGGATGATTAATCAGGAGGAAGAAAAACTGAAAAAAGAAAGAAAACAGCAGAAGAAAAAGAAAGATTACCCACCTCAGAGACGCTTTGATGCCGGGTCCCTCAATGGGCACACTCATTTCACTGCAAAAGGTGAGCTGCACCGACCAACAGTCACAGAAAACAGCTACCCAGTTCAAGTTTTTGCCGGAAGCAATGATCCTAGGCAGCAGCTGTTTAGTGCTATCCCAAGAAGGAATGACACATTTTATGTTCTGTCCTTCAGCACTGTGAGTATTTCATTGTTTATTTATTTATTTATTTATTTATTGTGTAGGCCAGTGTTTCTCAAACTTGTTTAACTGCGGCACCCTTGTCAAGCAAAATAAATTTGCGGCACACCTTTCCTTAAAGCAGTTTGAATTAATTGTACCCTCAAATCACTTGAAGGTTGCTCCTGTATCTTGTCAATGTAAGCTTACATTAAGAATGCACAGCAGCCTTGCCAACAGCATTGTTTTCTCAATACACCTGAATCTAGAACTCTTCTCTGCTTCCTTTATGGAATTTCTGTTTTAAACTGCTGTCTTTGCTGATGTGTCTGTATATGAGTGTATGTAAGAGAATGTGTACGTGTGTGTGTTTGAGTGTGTATGATTGTGTATGCATATTGTGTGTATGCATTTTTCTATAATGTATATATATTTTTTATTATAAAGATAACAAGCATTATTGATAACAGGCATTGGTACTCTGAAAGATGAGTGCTTAGAAGGGCTGAATGTCAGACGAGCCTGCGTGCCCAATTTGCAACCCTTTGAAAATAAAGTTTGTTCATTCGTTCCTTCGATATCAAGAAGACTTTGAAAAATTCTTTATTATTGCCGCGGCACTCCTGGCATACGTACGCTTGTGGCACCCAGTTTAAGAACCGCTGGTGTATGTAACCGTCAGCCCCTCGGGACCATGGAGTTGTGCCGCTGGTTTTGGGAACAGCGTCTGCAGTGTGTAAATTGCAATGTGGGAATTGCAGTTTCTGCCATATAGTTCACACACAAACGTTGATACACTGTCGTTCTAAGGCTGATTTTCTCTCAGACCTCCCCTCTCTACTGTTTGCTGCATTCGGCTTCTTTCAAACTGCTAAAGTCTGTCTTTCACTGTCTGGCTCCAAAGGAGTTGGACTGCAGCTGATCTCTCCCATGTAACAGTGTTGATATCTTTCAGGTCGTGCTTGCATAAGTTCTTATAGCGTAGCTTTGGCCTTCCTGCAGGTCATATTCCTGTTGCCAGTTCACTATACAGGAGGTCCTTTGGGATGTGACCTGTCGTGCAGGCGATAGACATATCCCAACCAATGTGGGTGTCTTTGCTTCAGTAGAAAGTACATTGTTAGCATTCCTGCTCTTTTAAGTACATATTCATTGGGAACAAAGTCTCACCATGATATACCAAGAATGTGTCTCATTCATTGCACGTGGAAGGTGTTCCTTATTTATTCATTATTGCATTTGGATTCATAGATTCTGTGCTGTTAAAATTATTTTTATAGCAAAAAGTGTTGGTGCTTGTCACAGAGTGGTTAAACAAAAAATGGTGCCGGTAATCACCACAAAGTGTCTTGGCTATTACAGTAATGTTGAAAAAAAAAACATATGCCTTAACAGGGCTTAGGTGTTGCAAACGTGCCTCATAATTCTGTGGTGCTAGCTTCGATCCTATCTGCAGGCGATTCGGCAGCAGCCTGCCCTGTATTTGTTTTGACAGTGGCACCGAGAGCCGACTGTTCAGTAAACATACTGAAAGTAAAACTGCCGAGTGAAATCAGGAACAGTCAAAAATATGCTGGGGTTGGTTCTGCGGTGTGCTGTAAAGGACTTAGTTGTTCCTCTTCTACTTTCAGGTGTAGAGGTTTGCAGCTAAACTGTGTCGGTACTCACCGTAAAGTGTCTGTTACAGCAGATGCTGAAAAAATGATACTTAAAAAGGGTGTTAGAACTGCACACTGTCAGAACAAAAGCCCTGAAATCATGTTCGATAGGTCCACGCCATCGTCTTCTTTGTGTTCCGCCCGTAAACTCTGGAGGAAAGTTCTGGTTGTTCATCCACCTCTGAAATTTAGTTTTTGTTTCAGAACTTGGGTTTTGCATTCACATCTGTTTTATAGATCTGGTTTATTTGTTTGCAGACTATTTGTCCCTCACATCTCGAGCAGATGCACTCTGACTTATAAGGAAACTCCCCTAATTAGTTGTCTTTTACATGTTGGGGGCGGTACGTCTGTTCTCCCCCTCCCACCCACTCCAGTTGGGCCCCAGAACCCACATGATCCAGAGCGGTAAAAAGGGGAAGTTAGGAAGAAAAACTACAAAAAGAATACATTTTTACTGCTAGTTGTTAAAAAGTGGTTCACCAATTCAGTAACCCAGTTAAAGGCTCTGTCTGCAATACGTTACGTTCAAAGGTGTTTCACCAGTTAAAGGCTATGTCTGCAATACGTTACGTTCAAAAGTGTTTCACCAGTTAAGTAACCCAGTTAAAGGCTGTTTCTGCAATATGTTACGTTCAAAGGTGTTTCACGAGTTAAGTAACCCAGTTAAAGGCTATGTCTGCAATACGTTACGTTCAAAAGTGTTTGACCAGTTAAGTAACACAGTTAAAGGCTCTGTCTGCTATACGTTAGGTTCAAAAGTGTTTCACCAATTCAGTAACCTTGTTATATGCTGAGTCTGCAATATGTTATGTTTATTGCTGCTGCCAGTTTAAATGTTCAGATACATTGTTTTCTTGTTATTTATTTAAATAATGCCGACACCAACAATACCTGGCAGAGTCTATTGCCTGGCACATTTTGCTGTATCTCATGTGTATTGTGTATGTCCGTATTATTTAAGTTTAAATATTCATGATTTTTATAGATACTAAATATTTTGTTTGTCTCTAACTTCAGGATTATTTCCTGGTACCTGCCACTGCACACAACAAGACGATGCGACCCAGAATGTCGCTTCTGATGCCTGTAATTACACCTCTGATGAATGGTAAGCTGGAGTTTGGTATTCTAGATAGAGTGATGCTAACAGATTTCTGAATTTAAAAAAAAAAAGTAATGTTAACTTACAGAAACTACATGACTCTCTCCAAATGTTTTTTTTTTTTTAAATTTTAAATTGTTACAGATTTTTAATCTTTTTCTTATAGTCCATCCCGTCTGAGGTTAGTAGTCATGTCTATCCACAAATTTCTGTTTCATATACTTTCAGTCATTTCTGACACAGATGATCTTCCGTGCCATAATGTCAAACTGTGTAACATCTTCTCTCTTGGTCTCCCTCTTCCCCTCCAGCTTTCCCACTGTCAAGATGTACTCCAGTTTTCTCCTTCTCATGACATGACCAAAGAGTGTAGAATGACTCCTTCTGATGTGGGCCGTCAGTTCTCTTCCTGAGACAGTGTCTATCAAGACATCTTCATTACTCTTTTATCTGTCCTTTGAATACTTTGGCTAAATATAACAAGGGATTTTATGGAAGGAAAAGAATAACAACAGTGCACCCTACTGTTTAAAGCAACTTAGAGGATGGTTGAGCTTGGGAGTTGAGTACAAAAACCAAACAGCTATAAACAAGTCGAATAATTAATGACCCAGTTGTGTATACTGTTACGGGAGCTTAGACCCACTACCTACCCAAAAGCATGACGTAAGAGTCGACTAACTGGGAGCTTCCTTAAAAGTCAGAGTGCATCTGCCTGAGAGGCAAGGAACCAGCAGTCTGCATACATATGAGTCAGATCTGTAAAAGGGATGCATATGCAACACTCAAGTTCTGGAAGAGGGCTGCAAAAGTGGATGAACAACCAGAACTTTCTTCCAGAGTTTACAGCTGCTGAACGCGAAAAAGATGCTTGTTAAGGGGGCATTAAATCTAATCTCCCCCCTCCCAATGAGGCCCTGAAACCTGCACATGGTTAACAAGACTGTTTTGATCTCTGTGATGTTTTAATACACAAATGCTATTTTGTCCTCAGATACCACAAGGGAAACCCTTGACAGCATAGGAATGATGCAGATAGACTGTGAAATCCTGAGCACCAACATCATCAGTGTGCACCGGTCAGCATCTCCGGAAAACGCCCACTACAACTCTACCCCCTATGCAAGAAGTGGGGGCAGTGACAAATCTAAGGATCACAGACACATAAATATACATTCTAGAAAAGGAGAAAATAATACCAAATAAACAGAAGATGTTCGAAAGATTTTGAGAAAGGCCCATAATTTGGCCCAATTTGCACAATATTTTTTATGGTTTTATCACAGTGTTGTGAGTTTTAGGCAAACATTTATAATTATTCTAGTATGTTATAAAGATGTGTGGAAAGGACAAGTTATAAGGTGGATTCATTGAAGGGAAGATCGGAGAAGCGGAGGGAGGGGGGAGCAACGGAGAAAATGACAGTAGACAGGATAAGAGGAGTATCTGAGAATAAACTTGCCAAATTCATGCAATGGTAATATTAGTCTTGAAATTCCAGTTTCTCATTGTGTAAGACTTTTCTTAACGCGAGTTGGTCTTGTTATACTCCTGTTCCAATAGGATGTGATTCCATTGCCTCATAAACACAGTGTAACACTGTTATCTGGAAAGGTGCCAGTAGGTGAGAAAAGATGACCATTATCTGCGTGTACAGCAGCTAAAGTCTTTTAGTCACTTCCATTCATCATGATTGGCTCTTTGTAACCCCCTGATGTGTTGAATGCATTACTTTCTTCTTCTTCGGGTTCACTGGCTGTAAACTCCAGCAGAAAGTTCTGGTTGTTCATCCACCTCTGGATTTTAGACTTGTTCCAGAACCTTAGTGTTACATGCACATCCATTTTAGAGATCTGAATTATTTGTGTACGCACTGTTGGTTCCTTGCCTCTCAAGCAGATGCACTCCGACTTTGGGTAGGCAGTGGGTCTGTTCTTGTTTTCCCCACAATGGGACCCCAGAACCCACACGGGGAGAATGCATTACTGAAACCTGGCTTAACTCTTTCAGTGCCAGAAGGTTTCACAGGAGATAAGATGGGGAAGCGTAAATTCATTACCGGGGTGTCAGTATACCCAGTGGCTATAACCACTAGGGAGCCAGAATTCTTTAGTGTGTTTATGCAAAATTTTAGAGAGCACATTATGCTTTGGATCGAAACTATCGTACAGAGACACTTACACATCAGACATTTTGGTTCTTTATTAATATCCTACCCCAGATGACATCACAGGACAGTCCAACATTTTAGAGGGTGGTAAGACTGGGTTTCCCAGTTTTCTGATGCTTTTAACAACCCCAAAACATCTAGAAATGGCCCTAACCCACCTACGTCCCATGAGAGAGTGCAGTCTAGGTCCCATGACTGTATGCAGCCTATCTACCACCCCCTGAAATATTAGACTGTCCTGTAACCTGTGGATTTCCCCTGTTTGGGATAGGATATTAATAAAGCACCAACATTTCTTGGGAATGAAAGGGATCATTTATTGAATTTGTTTTGCTTTACAAACTCTCATTCTTGCACATGTAAGTGATGTTATTTGGAAGCTGTGGTAGTACAGTGGCCGACATCGACTGCTAACATGGTCTTGTGCTTTTATCCCAGAGGTGGCCTCCCAGGTCAGATAAGCCATAAGTGGGCATTAAGAAATATTCTGGGAAGTAAAGGTGATTGGCATAATACTGACTGTTTCAACCTTCAAGTACTAATCTGTAGGGTGTCCCACAGGTTTCAGTACGTGAAGAACACGTTTAAGCACAGCTAGAGTTATGCTTGTAACGTTGTTGGTGATATGTTTATATTTTCTATGTGTGAAAACTTTTGGGATACCCTGTATAAAAATATGTGATTAACAGCTTATATACAACACACTTGAAGACCTGGATAAGCGTGCTTTTTAACTTATTATTATAGCTTTCATAAATAGAAAGGTGAAGACTGGTATGCTTCATGCAAAATGAAATAACACACACTACTCTCAGTAAGAGAAAAAGCAAAGGTAACAAAACTCAACAAAAGTAAAGGAGAAAGTACAACTGAATGTTTCGACCAGTCATCATCAATAACCCAAAGAGAAAGCAAACTGAGATGTCTTCATGTCATTTTCGATAGAAGCCTGGCTTTCAGGGATCACGTGGAGGCAGTTGCAGTGAAATGCTAAAAAGGACTCAACGCAGTTAAGATTATGGCAGCAATGGACATGCAACAAAGAATGCTGTTCACACTGTTCTAGCATGTGGCCCTGTCAGTGATAGATTTTGGACTTTGAATATTTACCATATCAGAGAGTCAGCTGATGAAATTTGAATGCATACAGAGTAAAGCCATGCCTGTAATTCGGGGATGTACAAGAGACACTTTGATAGTATGTATGCAATATATATTTGCACTGCCTACTATTGCAGATAGGCTCAGATCAAAGTTCCGCAAGCCAAGTCATATCTCAGAGTAGCTGTAGTCAAAAAGCACCTCCTGCATGGAGTTTTAGGTATAGCTAATAAGGGTTACAGACTGAAAAGAGGAAGGTGTTGGATGGCGCCAGCTGAAGACACAATTAGACATGTGTGCAGGCTTGATAAGTTTGGGAGAGGATAGAAGTGGGTCAGAATGTCGGAGAAAAAATTAGGACTTGTGTAGGGTTCTAATCACTTTAGTTGATGAGAACAGGGACTGGCCAGCTGGTGCTGCAGAATCAGAAGTTCAACAAATGATTTATGACAATTCCCGCTCAGGTGATGTGATTTTCTGTACAGATGGCTCTGTGTTGAGGGGCAGATGAAGTGCATGGAGGCTCATTGCAAAAGCGAATGGATGTTGCTTAGCGCAACAAATCCTGGCATATGATATCCCAATGTCTAGTTTGAGAATGGAGGTGGAGGCAGTCATTGATGCCTTCCGCTAGATTGAAAATCAGCTGACCTCACATATCTTCTTCTTCTTCTTCTTTGTGTTCACCAGCTGTACATTCTGGCGTAAAGTTCTGGTTGTTCGTCCACTTCTGGACTGCAGTCCTGCTCCAGAACCTGGGTGTTGCATGTGCATCAGTTTTACAGATCTGATTCTATTGAATGCAGACTGCTGGTTCCTTGCCTCTCAGGCAGATGCACTTCGACTTAAAAGGAAGCTCCCCAGTTAGTCGACTCTTACGACATGCTTTTGGGGAGGTCAGTGGGTCTATTCTTGTTTTCCCCACAATAGGGCCCCGGAACCCACACGGGGGTAAAACTCACATTTTATACCTCTAATGGACACAGAGTATGTTGAGAAAGGTGGATTCGGGCATGCTCTATGCACAGTGGCAGGCATCGCTTCAAAGGTCCTGGGTAGTTAGCATCCTTTGGATATTTTCTCCATGTTATCCTGGTGTGTTGGGAAACGAGCAGGCAGATAGACTAGCCAGTTCTGCACCACATAGTGGTGAATTTAGGTATGACAAGTTGTGAGGGCCCTTTAGGAGCGAGTGAACAGTGAGGAGGCACGAATAGATCATTACGGTCTGAGGAAAGACGGATGTACAGTCAGACAGTTATAATACTATCGGAATTGTCCCAAGTGCTGGGATGTAGAGGTGCTAAACCACATGTGGAAGTCCCCAAGGACTAGGGCTTGTATTGGTCCAGAGCTGTCTACACCTCTCCTGGAAACAGGTTTCTAAATGAGAGCCTGGCCAATGTAGATGGAATCGGTCTTTCCATCCAAGTCAGGGCTCATCTGTTTGACAGGCAAGGAACCAGCAGTCTGCACAAAAATAAGCCAGATCTGTAAAAGGGATATGCATGCAAACAAAGCCAGCTCAAGTTCTGGAACAAGATCAAAGTCTAGAAGGGGATGAATAACCACAACTTTCCGCTGGAGTTTACAGATGGTGAATGCGAAAAAAAAGAGCTTTCCGGTCATTGTTTCATTTCAGTTCTTATATCAGCTCAACTGCAGTCACTCATGTGTTCAATTCTATGCAGAGTAAGCATACCAAAATCAGTTATAAAAATCTGTCTCTGTGCTCCTGCAACTCAATACTTTCAGTTTGATAAGCAACCATCTAGCCACTTACTACAGCTACTCCCTTTCTTCATTGTAATTTTTATTTATTTTGCACAATTGTTTGATAACTTACTATTCGGTGTTTTAAATTAAACTTTTACCTGTAATGAACTTTTATGTAAACTTTATGTTTATTTATTTTGTACATTTTTCGGTACTGATCATGGTAGTTTTTTCCCATGTGGGGTCTAGGCCCCATTTTGTGAAAAATAAGAAAATCGACTAATTAAAAAGTCCTTCAAAGTCTGAGTGCATTCGCCTGAGAGGTGGGGAACCAACAGTCTGCTTTAAAAAAAAGAATCAGGTCATAAAATGGATGTGCATGCTAAACTCAAGTTCTTGAACAAGACTAAAGTCCAAAGGTGGATGAACAACCAGAACTTTCCGTGGAGTTTACAGTCCATGAATGTGAAGAAGATGATGGTAATGAAAAACAAGAAGATTCAAGAAGATGATGGTAGTGAAGAAGATTGAAGAAGATGACAGTAGTGAGGAAGAAGAAGATGACGGTAGTGAAAAAGAAGATGATGGAAGTCAACATAATAACCTGTACATGCACAATTTTTAAAATGACAAAACCTGACTATTTTTATTTGAAATATCCAATAGGAGGGAGTCTGCCCTGAGATTCTCCATGTGTAGATTGAAGCAATTTGCTGCCAGATTTTAAAAAAAATGTATTTCTGTATTTAAATCCCTTATTGTTTTGATTTACAGTATAATATTGTGACATACTTTACATCTATTGAAATTATGTGTTAAATGTTTGTTAGATCATTGATTTTGTAAATATCCGGGGTTAGCTAGGAAAGCCAAAACAACTTCCTTTATCCAGACCTGCTACTCTTGTGGTTATAACCATGAAAAAAAAAAGGTATTTAATTATCTTAATATCAGGGCACCATCTTTCGTTTACACACTGGGCATTGCAGACTCAACAAACACTCATATGGATTAGGTATGAGCCAAACAGCACTGTGCCAGTTGTTCTTGCTGAACAGGCTCAAGAACCTGCCCTGCAAGACTCCTGAAGGAACTGCGGACAGTGTGGCTGCACCCAGTAGACCTTTCAACTAAGTGTTGAGGAAACCTAAGCGACCATGATGTGACATCCCAAGTTATAGGCAGTAGTGAATTGCGCACAATAAGAGATCGCTGAAGA